GCCCGGCCTCGGGGGGCGCAGGCCCGGAGAAGCCCCTGGAGGGCCTTTGTGCGTCCTGCAGCTTTGCGGTTTGGAACCCGGCATCTGCCCGGCGCCGCGGAGCCGGTGGGAAGGGAGAGAGTAAGGACGCCGAGACTAGGGATCTTTCTCTGGTCCACGGCACCTAGGTAACTGGGACGTGTAGAGGGGGGGTTGTGGTGGGGTGGAGGGGGCGAGGAGCCGCATTTAAACGTCTCGGTGGCTGAGATGTGACTCCCAGGGGAAAAGTTCTCCTGAGAGGACTAACTGCCTGAGGGGGTAGGCAGCAAAAGCACGAGGGTTGTGACTGCATGGCTCCAAGTGTCCCAAGTTGGGGAAAGTTTTACTGGGAGTGGGGTATCAGGAGTTGTGTGGTTCAAAATAAGGATGGAGGTTGATGAGTTTTCTGGATCAGTAGCCAAGTGTCCTGACTGTATGGAGAAATGGGGACAGGGGAGACAATATTGAGAAAGAAGGAGCTGGAGATGGCCGCCTGAAATTACTCAGGTAGCTTATGTCTGGGCTTCTCTGTTTAAGCTGTGTTTTGCTGGGAACTTTTGTTCCTGTGAAATTTCATTTGGAAAGATTGCAGGTGATTGTGAATTCAATATAAGTTACTAATGAGCTTGTAGTTAATATTCCTTGGGTCTTTAAACAAAAATCTTACCGTGTGTGTGTGTGTGTGTGTCTGTCTGTCTGTCTGTCTGTGGCCATGGGTGTCTGTCTGTCTGTCTGTCTGTGGCCATGGGTGCATGATTTGTATATTTGGGTTCACTTTGACCGGCTGAGCCTTTTTCCTCCTCACAGTTTTGTTAGGAGATTAATAACAAAGTACATAACACGTGGGAAAACGAATTTCTAAAAAACTTCCAGTTGCAAGTGTTGGATGTGGCCAAAAGGCCAGTACTGGCTCTTCTTTCCCCAGTTTTAAATTTGGACAAGGAGGTGTCCTTGGTTCTCCGGGAGCTTCTCAGTATTTTGGGTGGTATCTATTAGGTTTTCCAGGAAGCTTAGGGTGTGGTGATAAATGCTTCAATGGCCGTGGTGGTCCCTTGGCATTTACATTCTAATGGGGAAAATGAAAAAGCAGTAGGAAAAGTGACAGGGAGCCCTGAGGTTTTGGCACTTGCCTTTAATGCCTTTAATCCCAGCTCTGGGAGGCAGAGACAGGAGGATTTCTGTGAGTTTGAGGGCAGCCTGATCTACAGAGCAAGTTCAGGACAGGCTCTAAAGCTACAAAGGAACGTGGTCCTGAAAAAACAAAACAAAATAAAACAAACAAAAAGAAAAGAAAAAGGACAGGGTTCTGTGGTGAACCTGGGAGTAGTGTAGTAAGGGAGTCCAAAAGGTTTCTTTCAGGTTTGTAGGTAGGGAAACAACTCAAATTTGCCACAACTGCATGGCAAATAGAAGATAGTATGTGTGGCTCATGATTTTTATTTATAAATGAAATAAAATTAGTACATTACAGTCACTTAAGCTAGGCAACTTCAGTTCCAAAATTAAGTTAATAATCTAATTTCTAAGTGTACTTTTTTTTGTCGTTTATTTTTCAAGACAGGGTTTCTCTGTAGCTTTGGAGCCTGTCCTGGAACTTCTTGTAGACCAGGCTGGCCTCGATTGGCCTCGATCTCACAGAATGTTGGGATTAAAGTCATGCACTCTAAGTGTATTTTGATGTGTGTTTAAGAAGTATGTCCTATTTCTGCCAAACATGAGGTTCTTTGATGCATTTGAGCCTTTGGGTTGGAATACATATTTACGTTTGTATGATTTATTTACAGTTTTTTTGTTTTTTGGATAGAATTCCTGTTTGTACCCTGGTTGCCTTGGAACTTGCTCTGTAGACCAGGCTGACCTTGAACTCACAGGGATCCACCTGCCTCTGTCTCAGTACTGGAATTAAAGGTGTGAGCCACCACCATCCAGCTGTATGTATGTTATTGTTCTAAATTTCAAGTCTTTAGAGCTCTTTATAAGCACAAAGTGATTCCTTGCAGCAAGTGTGTAATGTGAAGAAAATAGAAACTTGAGACATATGGGATCTATCAGTGAAATTTTTTTTTTGTCCTTACAGGGTTTCTCTGTAGCCCTGGCTGTCCTGGAATTGCTCTGTAGACCTGGATTGCCTTAAACTCACAGGGATCTGCCTGCCTCTGCCTCCTAAATGCTTGAATTAAAGGTGTTTGTCACCACCGCCAGTTTTATTGGTATAATTTTTAAAGTTATCCTTGTTTTTATTGTTTGCACGCACATACATTTATTTTTTGTGCACATGTGCGTGCATGCATTTGTATGCACTATAGCACTTGTGTGGCTTGGGTGCCTGTACAAGGATGTCTTGAGGGACTCGGCTCTCTGCTTTCCCCATGTGGATCCTGGAGATTGAACTAGGTTGTTTGGCTTTGTGGCAGGTGCCACTGAGCTCTCTCTGGACTCCCAGTATAATTTTTTATTTTAAGGAATATTTTTTCCCTTTATGTTTGTGCTATCCTTGGAATTTGAAGGTTGGCTTGGAGACTTTACAGAGGAGTTGATGTCTGAGGAAAGATCTTCAAAGCTCTTCAGGTAGCAACAGCTTCATGTAGTAGAAGAATGGCGTACTTAGGAGCTAGGTGACAGTGCTTTTCATTTTGCCTCTAAAAAGCTGCATTATTAATATTGAAAATATCCTCTTAGCAGTTTCTCATATATGAAGAATAAGTTTCTATTTCAAATTTGTTTTCCATACTGAAGAGAACCTCATACAATGTCTGGAATACGATAGATGCCCAGTAGGTATCTTTCCCAGGGATTGGGAACAGAAAGTTTGACACTGGTATGAGAAGCACTTTCATCAGAGTCTGTCGGTCCCAAGTTTTGGGCTGTAACCTGAAACCTGACTCAAAAATATGAAGGCAATTTGCTGATGGGTTTAAATGATATTTCATTCCTCTCATCTGAAAAGATGGTTGCCCCCAGCTCCTGGAGCCACAAACTGCACTTGAGCCTAGTTGGACTGCCAGTCACTGGCTGCCCTGAGCCAGTGCCCTCTGCATGCTCCATCCTCAGATTCTTGCCAAGAAAAAGTGATGCTGCACTTGTGGCCATGGAATGTTTGCTGTAGCATTTGGAGAAACTAACTCCTGAGGATATTTGTCTTTGAAAAGCCATAATGCTGGAGAAACAACTCAGGAAGAATGGAATAATAATTATGTATTTCTTATGTAGATGATATAGTATATAATGTACATGTTGGCTTGGATTCATCCCCTTGGCTTCAGATTTTAAATTTGTGATGACAACATATTGTGTGTGCTCATGGTTGTTAAGTGTACTGTATAAGTTATTGAATACATTGTATTTGAGAATAGGGCTGACTTTACATGATGAGAAGAAAATGCATTACTTTATTGTGGTGATAGGAAGGGCATTTGAATTGTTCAAAACACAGGGGATGATGTGTATTTTAAAAGTTTGAAGGTGCTGGGTGGTGGTGGTCCAGACCTTCAATCCTAGCACTTGGGAGGCAGAGGCAGGCCGATCACTGTAAATTCAAGGACAGCCAGGGCACACAGAAACCCTGCCTTGAAAAACAAAGTAGGAAGGTAATTCGTTTAAGACTTCTCAGTGAAGTATTAATCCTTTTGATTAATTTCATAAATAGTTTGAAGAAATAGAGGTTGTAATTATACCCTTCCGTGAAGGTTGCTTAACAGCCTGGAGCATGCACTAAGGAATGTGATGAAGACAGGTTTCCAGGAGAGCGGGATGAACTCAGCAGGAATCTGATGCTGTTATCTTCAAGAGGAGAGGATGGAAACACTGGATTGTCACTGTGAAGATAATGTAGGCTTGTTGCAGTGAAGGAGTGATGAGTTTCTTCTGGGGAAATACCGTACACCTGTGGAAGAAAAGGAAGCGTTCTTAGAATTGTCATGTCTAGAGCTTCTTGTCTTTAATTCACTTTTTGTTGAATTCTGAAAGCCCTTTGGTGGATTAGAATGAAAATTAGTGGGGCTAATAATGTAGGAATATGTGAAATCTTTTTTTTTTTTCATTTTTCTTTCCAAGCTTTTAATTTTGTTAGTTCTGTCTTTAAACACATGTTCAATAGTGTTTTCTTTTTTCTTTTTTTTTTTTTGTTGTTTTTGCTGTTGTTTTTGTTTTTCGAGACGGTTGCTCTGTAGCTTTGGAGCCTGTCCTGGAAGTAGCTCTTGTTGACCAGGCTGGCCTCGAACTCACAGAGATCTGCCTGTCTCTGCCTCCCAAGTGCGGGGATTAAAGGCATGTACCACCACCACCTGGCTCAGTACTGGTTTCTTAAAGGTTGCTACTCAACTTGTACAGTCAAGAATCTTAAAATTCTTGAATTTTGTAAAAGGTCTTAAATTTTATAGGACTATTTTTCCTACCAGCTGAAGAAAATAATCTATAAGTATATGCTAGTTAAGCTTAAATTTGAAGAGTAATTTGAATTTGTATTATTTTACAGAATTTATTCTCTCTTTTAAATAGAATTTACTCTTATTTAAAGAACACTACACACAAGTTTGAAAAGTAAGGACTGTGAACAATAGTCTTATCAGAGCAACAAGAGCTCTTAACCAGCCCTGACCCTAATTTCTGATGACCATAAAAGATATTTTAAACCCTTTCGGCTCCTTCCATATTTATTGGTTTTAGCTAACATAATATTCCTATTCTCTTTTCCCCCAGTTTTGACTCTTCCTAACTCCCCCCCCCCCACACACACACACACAGGGGGGCTGTGGGGCTGGGTTCTCTGTAACGTTGGAGCCTGTCCTGGAACTAGCTAGCTCTGTAGACCAGGCTGGTGTCAAAGGCATGTACCACTGCCGCCTGGCTTCTTCCCAATTTTTTACTGTAGGAGAAAGGTAGGATTTGGCCTTCCTGTTCTCACCATCCTTGCCTATACAGCTAATCCTCTCCTCACATTTGTAATTGTCTAGTTTTCTTCCTTTGGAATTGTTTTGCTTTAGTGGATGGATAATGACTCAGCTTTTAGATATTATCTGTGACTGAGCTATAAAGCTTCTTTCAATGTGATAAGACACATTAGTTTGCTTCTGAATGGGTGAGTGCTCCTGTTTGGAGGCAATAGGACATTGGGATGCCTGCTCTCTCGCTCTCACCTCATTTTTCTGAA